TTTTTTTTTTTTCTGTGGGTGTCCGCGGCTGAGGAGAGAATACGATTAAATAAACATGGGCTGTAGGTACATTAACTCGAAGAGAAGTCCGAGAAAGGAATGAGTATTTAATGACCCTGAGACAAAGGTTTATCTCGTTAAAGGTACTTCTTCTCTCTGGTCCATGGAAACTGAGGTGGCTTTGCTCAGCACAGAGGGCGTAAAAGTGAGAAAGGAGTCAGTCCTGGTTGTGGCCGAACAGGTAAAGTCTGATCCGGAGGGTCTCTGCGCCAGCCCGTTGGACTGGCCGCTGTGGCATGCCAGGCAGGAGCAGGGGTTGCCCCCGGTGCTGCTCAGTCCATGAGTTGGGGGGTAGAGAGAGGGATGTCTGAAGGCGCACAGCAGTTCTGGTCTCGGGTACGGGTGGGAGAGGACTCTGAAGGTGTCCAGAGGCCTCAGGGGAGTACTGAAGGGGGTGGCGGCAGAGGCCGATGTGGCGCCGATGCCCATGTGGGAGTAGTAGGGCAGGGGCAGGTGGGACGGGAATGGATACGGCAGGTTCCCGGTGGCTGCCGCGTGGCTCATCATGTACGTATAAAACGCCGGGTCGGCCGGGTGAGGCCAGGTCATGGCCAGGCGCTGCCGCTTGTCCTTCATCCTGCGGTTCTGGAACCAAACCTGCGGACAGAGGAGAGGCGAGAGCCGTCACCCGCCGCCGCCGCTCTCCGCCTGGCCGCCGGCCCCGGCCCTGCTCCCGGGGCGGTGCGGCGGACGTGGGTCTGCCGGAGAGCCGAGACCGGCGCCAGCTTTCCCTCCTAGAGGGACTTGTCATCACGTACAGAGGGATCAGTTAAGCCCCTATAAAAACCTACAGGGAGACCCAGAGGAGCAGCCCTTTCAGGGTGCTTGTTTTCCCTTTTTGCTTATTAGGGCTTGTCCTGCTGCCCCTCACCCCAAGTCCCTGGGTCCCAGCCAGCCGGGCGGCTCTGCCTCACTGCTGCCCTTTCGCATCCAGAACTACCTGAGATTGTTGCTATGGGGTTGATTTTCATGTGCAAATGTTTTAGAAAAGGCAAAGCAAAGCGAGATCGAAACAAGATCTGCTCCTGGATTTCTCTTCCCTCCTACCCAAGAGCTGAACGAAATTGGACTGAACCGAAGGGAGGATTAAAAATAATCTGCTAGGGAGAGGACAGATTAACGGCGCTGGCCGGGATGGCTCCGGGAGCCGTGTCCCGTCTCCCGCATTGCTGCAGGGTGCGGGCAGGGCCAGGAAAGGGGCGGGAGGCGGGGGGAGCTGAGAGGGAGGGTTATGCTGGCGAAGTGCTTTCCCAAGTTTTGCAAGGAAGTTTGGCCATACAGATTTATATCGTGCTAATTGGAAACATGTCTGAGCTGCGTGTACCTTGATGGTGGTTTCTGGCAGATTTAGAGCAGCCGCCAGCTCACATCTCCGGGGTCTGGACACGTAATTCTCCCGGTAAAACTCCTTCTCCAGCCGGGCGATCTGCTCGCGGGTGAAGGCGGTGCGGTAGCGGCGCATCTGGTCGCTGGCGCTGCAGGCCAGCGAGCCCTGGGAGCCGCCGCTGCCTCCGCTGCCCTTGGGGTGATCCCCCCCGCCGCTGGGGCTGCCGGCCAACGCCTCGGAGCACGGCCCTGCGTGGGGAGCCCGGAGCAACGACACACGCTCGGAGGCGGGCGGGCACGGAGGGATGCTCGCAGTCCGCCTCCCCAGCAAACCCACTTAAATCCCCCATTCCACCCCATTTCGCGTTTCCGTGCCCGGCCCTGTGTACTGAGGGTATTGGGGTACTGACATCCAAGAAGGACCGGGGAGGAGGGCAGCAAGAAAGGGGATGAAACACCGCCTAAGGGTTTGAGAGGGGCTTATTCACTCTGGCTGGGAGGTTACCTGTTCCCCATCCTCCCCTACACACACCCCCGCGCAATGGCGGTGTCTGTTCGCTGAGCCTCTTGCTGGCTTTCCGCGCCGGGAAACCGGAGCGCCGCAGCATCCCCCACCCTGAGTGTCTGGAAAAGGCAGGTGTGCCCGCCATGCATGCAGCACAGCTCCGCTGCTGCTTCCTCCAGGCCAGCAAGGACCCAGGAGTGGAGCAGCCAGCAGACAGGGACTGCTCTCTCTGCGGGGAAGGTGAGGCCTTAGGGATCTCCGCTCAGCCTTCAAAGAACGGAATGGGATCTTTTCAACGAGCCTCTAAGGGACGAGGGAGGAAAGACAGCGCTCTCTACGCTTCCCGGCTTCTTGAAGTGATTGAGGAATGGGGAGGGGGGAGAAGTGGGTTGTTGTCAGGGTAGGGACGTCTTTGCCAGGCTGGGAAGGTGGGAATAGGGAGTGGGGAGTGGGGGCAGGGGGAAAAGGGGCCTGTCCGCTGCCTTTGCTTTCAAATGCAACTCTCCCTCATTGTGCCCGAGACCAAAGGCAATTAATTCATTGGGACCATTTCCGAGCTGGCGCCACCGAGACATAGAAGTGACAAGGTAATTCGGACCTCTTTTTTTTTTTTTTTTTTTTTTAACCCAATGTGCAAACAAGGCCCTCGCTACCGCACTTGGGGCTGGCATGAGTCGGCGAGAGATTTTACAATCTTTATGGGCGCTTCCGCACTCGCCCGGGCACATTTCACCCTGCAAAACCACAAACAGCTCTTGGCCAGAAAACCCGTTTGATCTTACCCACACACACACACATACAAAAAAACCCGCCGGTGTGGGGGATCGTAAGGGATTTCCTGAAGTATGCACTGTCTAGGCGATGGGGAAGAATAAAAATAAAATAGAGCAGATTGAAGAGGAGAGTGCGTGGTTTTCTTGGCCTAAAAGATCCTACGGGACAAGCTGCAAACCTGACGCATCTACGATGGGAAGCCTGGCTCCCCTCCAGGGACGCGGGGGCTGCCCGGTGTCGTGTCCTCTGACTCTCAAACAAGTCTCCCGGTGGCAGGGAGGTGAGCAATCAGTCAGGAAAGAGATCACACACGCGCAGACACACACACACCCGATTTCGTTGCCCCTCGCTCAGCTGGCGAGGGGAAAATCCCCTCCGGCAGCCCCCCCGCCCCACCAGTGCTGCCACCCAGCCCCGGAGCGGACGTGGGGCTGGAGGCATGGGAAGGAGTTGGGTACCTTTGCTGTGCTGGTACTCGGCGCTCCCCGTGGCGCAGTCCGGGGTGCAGCTCACCTCGATTTCCTCATAGAAATCCGACTCGGTGTCCGAGCTGCTCTGCTGCCCTTTGCTGGAGGGGAGCTCCGGGACGGGGGGCTGCTGTCCGGCCGAAAGCAGTGCTGCCGCCGCCGAGCGGCTCTCCGGCACCGTCCCTGTCCCTGGCAGCACCTCCACCTCCTCTTCGTCTTCTCCTCCGCCACCTCCTCCTCCTCCTCTCTCCCGGGACGACAAGGGGCCAGGTCTGGGGCTGATGCAGTTCCGATGGATCATCTTCTCCTGCGGCTCCGCAGCGGGGCTCCCCACTGCTTCGGACAAATTAGGCACCCTCTTGCCAACTAGAGCGCCAAGAGTAGTCCCCTCCAGAAACATCACCATCTCCTTCCTGGTTTCCATTGTGGTTTTGCTTAAGGGAGGGGAGAAAAAAAATCCAGATCTCTTCCCCCCCTCCCTCCTGCTCCCGCCCCAGCCTTGTACAAACCCAGGAACCCTCTCCTGCCAATGCAGAGGAGGCAGCGGTGAGATAGGGTGACCTTGTGATGCGAGCGCTACACTCTGCTGTGCTGCTCTGGGAGGGATCACCATTGCCCTCTTCTTTCTAAGCTGTCATCCTCAATGGTGCAGTCGTCACTACAGTACCACCGGTGACGCCACACATTGATTGCCAGTGGATAAATAGAAACGTCTGCTATTGGGAAGATGAAAGGAAGAGCCGGGGCGAATGGGCTAAATGCGTGATGCACCAGGTGTAGGAGCCTGAGATGGAGAGGAAAGTGTGAAAAAGAGATGCATATGCAGCTGCAAAGATGTTGTAACATGCGGAGAGAGTTCCGCGGGGGGAAGCCTTGCCTGACAATTAAATAGCCCTTTGACTGCTTTAAGCCACAACCTTGATGTAGAATTGAGGCGAAGACCCTTAGCTGCATCCTGGAAGTGAGAAGATACGTACTCAAGCCTCTTCCTTGGATGCATTATTTATTGCTGGCAATCAGCTTCCGCCTAACTGCATATATAAGGCTTCTAAGAATCCTTTGCAAACTTGAGGATAAAGAAATGCGCTGCTGACATTTGAATGCAAAAATAGCTTTGATTTCTTGCACTGGGTCAATATCGGTTCCTATCGGTATAATTGTCATTGCTTTCTGTTTACTGAGATTAAAATGTTAGTTTACCATTTCGAAATGCGGTTCTATATTTATTGGTTTTTACATATGAAAAGATACAACTACTTCACTTGTAACTGTAGTTATTCTGTGTGTCTGCCGTTTATCGTTTGTTCTTATTTTTTACTTTACTTTTTCAAGTTTTCCATTATTTTTGCACTTTTATGAAGGTTTTATGTCTGCTTTCATTTCTTCTTTTTAACTAATTGTTTTGCACAAATTATTATCTACTTTCGGGGCAGGGGGAAGGGGGGGATGGGATGGAAAAAGAAGGTCTGCCAAGAGTAATTCAGGCTCAGAAAAATGTAAGTTATCAAGGCCAGAGCTTATGCTAGCTAGCAGATGTTGTTGAAACAGACATGACAAGAGCAACAATTTGGACAGCACTTGACTGAAAATAAGGGACCTTGTACCATAAATACAGTGGCACGTGTAATCTTTTTGGCGTATTATGATATTTCTAATGAATGCAGTAAGGATTGCGTATTTAGCTAACATTGCCTCACATGTGTAATGTCAAGCCATTTTTCACCATCTGTCGTAACTAGGTTGTTCTAAATTTTTTTTTCCTCGGAGTGTTATTGGCTAGTCAGGATACAGAAAACATTCAGCCAATTACAGTCCCAACCCGGTAAGGAATTTACTGGCATATCTGAGGTGACGTCGCTCTGGTGGGGAACAGGCAGCGCAATAGGAAACATGCTGTGATTTTTCCGTCTAGTCCTGCGAGCAGGATGCAGAGAGAGAAACAAACAAGCAAACAAGATTCTCGGTCTGCTGAATGCAGGGATAAAGGAGTGGTCCCAGCAATAAGCATACTCTTTTCAGAGTGATAAACCACAAGTTTTTACAGAGTTGTGGTCACCATTCTCCCTTTCTCCCTGTATATACACGCACGTATTTTTCCATGCAAACGCACATCATGCACATACCACTCTGGACTGCACTGCTTTCCACCACACATTGTGAACCGTGCGCTGCTTCAAAGCTTGAAAAATTATGGAAAACTCATTGATAAATTCCCTTTCCCTTCTCTCCTCTGCCAGCCTCTAGACAGACGTGTGCCCTGTGAGGACCTGCCGCCAATCCCTGCCGCAGCTGGGCTCGGCTCTGCGGGCTCTGTGAGCGTGGAGTAGGGGAAGCAGGACCAGGTTCGAGGTGGATGGATGGATGGATGGATGGATGGATGGATGGATGGATGGATGGATGGATAAGGCAGTCCATCTTCGGTACTGAGCAGAACAGAAAAGCAACGCTTATCTCGCTGAGCAGAGAGGTGCAGACCGGAGCTGTGGGGCAAGGCCAGGCGGGCAGCACTCTTTCGGTGTCGCGCCGGTGTCTCTTCCCACGGCTGGTGGCGTCGTTTTTGCGCTTTATTGGGGTAAGCAGGGGATTTGTGTTCGTTTTCTTGGCACCTCTGGGGGGAATGTGAAGGTTCAGCCTCCCCCTGGGCCCACCGTAGCCCCAGCTTCTCGAAAAAGCTCACTTCCAGCCTCCTTCCTAGCTCGGCCAAGCAGCCCTGTTGGGAAGAAGCTGGCTGATATCTGTGGCGGACAGAGAGGACTTCCGCATCACAACGAGTTTAGTGGTAGTAAGAAGAGGGATATTCATGTCTGTTGTGAAATAAGACCACAATCAGGAACTGAATTCTGAGTGCAAGGGAGCGCTCCCAGAACGGGCGATGGAAACGATTGTGGGGAAGTTAATGGGAAATCCTCTCTCTGCCAGACCGGAGCCCTGGGGATGATTCCTGTGGATTATGCTGGCCGATCCCCAGGAATTTTATCATCTTCGTTTACGAGTCACCGCTGCCTCCTTCCTCACCCCATTCTTAATGCGTTCCCACCAAGAAGCCACCCGTCTTGTACCTCGAATCAGAGGTTTTGTTGAACCTGAGACGGTCATTGCTGCAGAAGGCTTGACGCAGCCCGCAGCAGCACAGGCTGTGGAACACCCCCGCACGGACAGACGGACGCCCCCCACACATACACATCCTTTAATTTGCCAAGGGTAAACACGGAGAGTTGAAGGCCCGAGTGGAATATAAGAACGGGGAAAAAACTAAACATTAAAAAAAAAAAAAAAAAAAAAGTACTGGAAGTTTTGGGGTCAGTTTAGATTACATTAGTTAAGGCTTCTTAAAACGTCTATTTTTCCATCCCCCCAGGAAAAGTACCGCCACAAGAGCCCCTCGCACGTCAACGAGCCGGTGACGCGGCGTGGTGGAGCGAGGAGCCCCGTCCCTCTCTCTGCCGCCACGGAGTTTTGCCTCACCGGGAATGCGGGGTCCGCACTGCCTTCTGTCTAGTGTTTCTCTCAGATCTGTCATGCTCGATTTGGAAGGATACTCCCTCATTTGGGATTAATTTCCAGGCAGATTGGAAAGTGTATTCCTATGGGTGTGGGTGGGTATTTTTCCTGCATGCTCCAGACCGAGATTTAAAACCTACTCTCTCGCTCGCTAGGTCATAGCCAGGATGCCATAAACATGCTCAAAACTTTTCAAACGTATTTATTTCTCCAAGTTTGCAGCTTTCCTTGATGATATATGGCCAAGGCGGGATCAGGACACAGAATTCCGTCTTAATGCTGTCTGAAATGTAGTCCCGCATACGAAAAACAAACGAAACGCACACACACACCCTTCCCAAAACGAGGAAGTAATAGCGGGACATTCAAATATTGCCAGAGTGATATGCTCATAAATCAGGCATTTTCCTTGGAAGTGCTAAGCCTGCAGAAGGAAAGACGCATCACACCCTCCTCCGCGGTATATTTATTTTTCTTAGCCGGTCAACAGGGTGTCAATAACTTTTGACCAATACTATCGAGTTAAGACTGGGAACCCACAATCAGTTTCTCTAAAAGAGCCCTAAAGTCTTATAGTATTTTAAAAAGGAAGAAAGTTTTGACATAACGCTGAACGATTTAGTGCCACAAAAAGTGATACCTAGTTCAAATGGGTGACCAAACCAGAAAACCTATTTTTAAATATTTAATGGGTAGTGTTAACAATAATGGCGTAATTATCACTGTTTTATTAAGGCTATTTTTTACGACATGATTAGAGGTGGAAGCTTTGGAGAGAAGAGAATAAGAAGCGCATTACTCTTGTGGGTAAAGACAAACTGATACAACGACAGCACGTAACACGTAAGTGGCGTTGAGGAGAGAGAGGACAGAGCCGTGAGTGGGATGTGCCTAGGAAAGCATGTAATGGTATTTACAGGATCCGATCCAGGACACATTTCTGCCTCCCCGTAGCTCTGAATGCCGGATTCCGGCATCCCTCTGCGAGGGGCATCTGTCTGTTCTGGATGGATTCTTTTGGGGTTTTGTTTTTAACTGTTGGCTCTCTGAAGCAACGCCTCGTTGTCACCGCATGAGATTTTGAAGATATTTACTTTGCTAGACCAAAACCTAGGGAAGGGGGGGAGGGGGGGGGAGGCGGGGGGAGGGTGTGGGAAGTGCGCTATTCCCTCTTATAGGACATTCAAGACAAGTTTGACCGTGGAAACTAAATCTGATACTTTACTGATGACAGTGAGTAAATCGTGAGGAATTTGGGCTTTCGATTTCAATTCCTATCTGTCCCAGATTCGTCGAGAGACATAAAACTGCGGCAATCTTTTAATGTTATAATGAGCAGTAGAAACATGATCCGCGTGACAAACTCCCTGATTTGGAAACAAAAAGGTATTTATGGAGTGAATTTAATTCGGAGGAAGGCACAGGTAAATGAAAATCGACAGTATTTCAGTGGTTCTCGCGACTAGACGTTTTTCCTTAGAGATTTGATTTAACGAGAACTGAGCTAGCAGCCCTTCGGGCTTGTGCATTTCCGCGATTTCCCCATCGCGGGTGACAGCGTCGCCTGAGACTTGGTGCGCCGAAGCATCTCTTACAGAAACACTGAGGAGTTTCAGGGGGTGCTCAAAGGAAGAGCCGTAAGGGCGGGGGGGAATGCGCCATTATCAGGAGAAAACCACAGGAATGTCAGAGGCGAACACACATTCTTTCACCGCATTTAATATTTTGGTGTCCTGCTGTATTAAAACAAACTGGAGGACCAGAAGGGGCCGAGAGGAGCGGTGCTGCCTGCCGGGATGTCGACCCGCAGGCTGCCGGCCGGTATTGGCCGTGGCTACACGCCGGGACACCCAGCTGTTTCTCCCTTTGTCGCCCCCAGGTAGGCGGCAATGTCGCGTAGGGACTGTCTCCGCGCCCTTCCCT